TCTCTCTCTCTCTCTCTCTCTCTCTCTCTCTCTCTCTCTCTCTCTCTCTCTCTCTCTCCCTCTCTCTTTCACATAGTCCTTTGGACTTGGAAGACTAATCGTTATGAGGATATTGGGTGCGTACACGTGCATGTGAGTGCGTGTGCGTATGCGCGATTATATAGATCAGTGAGTTTGTCCCGAAACGAAACATGAATTAAAACCCTCGTGATAAAATTTTCAAGCATATAATGGTCCAGAATAGCTACATAGAGAGACATATATAGTTTACGTTACATTATACGACTCATAAAAAGGCGAGAACATCCATAAAATGATACATGAAATAATGATGGTTCGCATCGAGATTTAATTTCCTATGCTATAATATCAGGAGTAAGATAATATATATCCTATATTATCTTACTCCTGGCAATATGCGTACATTTTGCCCTTTTCTTCTGCATTTAATTTCTTTTTTTTTTGTTTTCGCTTGCCGCAACATTGCATCCGAAGACGGATTTACTTTCGGAATTTCCATTTATTCGACAATGGTGACAAAAAACGAAGCCACAAAGATATAAAATAAAAAAATTGCTGAAAAAAAAGAAAAAAAAAAGAACAAATAAAAACCGATATAGATAAAAGCGTACACGGATCGATACATAGAAATCGTAGTCCGTTATAGTGGCAAGGAGCCTACTGGTATATATATATATTTTATACGATGCTTGGTGGCAGCACTATCCAATTCCGGAATGGCGGACAAAGTCGAAGTAAACTAGTCGTAGAACCGTAAAACAATCGGTGGAATGTACTTGGTTACATCAATCTTTTAGCGCTCGTATACCACCTAGAATAATAATAACCATGTCCACTGCAAATACAAATAAATATACGGTAGGAGAAACGAGTTCAGCTACATCTACTCCTCGGAAGAGACCCAAATGTGTTAAACGAACAATCTCTGTTGCCAGAGTTGAGCAGATGCTGGAAGAGGATCGGAAAGAAAGACGAAATGCACCGGACAAACCGTGAGTTACCAGTGAGACTTGTCAATAGGGGGTTAGACTAGACCGTATATTAAGGTGTTATACAAACCTACTGTTACTCACTGTTATTGTGTTAGGTTACGTTAGGTAGATAAGTGAAGTAGGTGACAGTCAATATAAACAAACAGACCTCCGGCTAGTACGCCTTAGTTACAGTTAGTACGCTATGGTATAAGTAGAGCTCACTGCCACACTAGTGCGATAATCCCCATGGGTGTGTATGTTTGGTGCTGATCCCTCTGGTCACGATCTGACCAAACGAACACAATCCGTGTATCCTGCCATGTTAATTGCGACCCTTCACATGTATTGTTGTCTCAATACTAGTAGTAGTAACCCTGATTGTTCATTTGCTGATTCACGTGCCACTTTATCATATTACTATATTAGATTCACTTGAATTTATTTATTTTTATTTTTTTTTTGATTTATGATTACATCTCACCTATCTTTTTGAACACTTCCACAACTTTACACCAGGTATTTATGCTGTTATTCCTCAAAGTCTTAGCACTACTGGTGTTTTGTTTTCAAATGCGGTTGCTCTGCTTATGTGTGCACGCGTGACTCTTCAGTGCTAAGACTTTGAGGAATAACAGCTTAACAGCCTAAATACCTGGTGTAAAGTTGTGGAAG